GGGGGGGGGGGGGGGGGGGGGGCTGACTGCATCGGAACCCCGGGCCCCACTTTGACGGATATAAGGGGTCCGGCGTTCTCGATCCGCAGGACCCCCCCCCCCTTAATGAACGGGGGGGTCCGGGGTTCCCAATCCGTCGGACCCCCTTTTCAACCCGCACGGGTCCGGCGTTCCCGATACGCCGGACCCTCTGCTCGGTTTGCGGACGCAAGACCACTGCAAGCTCAAAAAGGGGGTCGAGGAGTCCGGCGTCCTTGATCCGTCTGACTCCGCCCCCCCCCTCTCGAACAGGGGGTCCGGCGTTCCCGATCCGCCGGACCCCCGTCCCATGCGCAGGGGGTCCGGCGTTCCCAATCCGCCGGACCCCCCTTTCCATGCGCGAACGATGGACCCCCCCGCGAGCTGAGAAGAGGGTCCGGCGGATTCGGAACGCCGGACCCCCCCCTGGTTCGATAAGGGGGGGGGCTCACCGCATCGGAACCACGGGCCCCCCTTTGACAGATGTAAGGGGTCTGGCATTCTCGATCCGCCGGACCCCCCCCCCCTTAATGAACGGGAGGTCCGGCATTTCCAATCCGCCGGACCCTCCGCGCGCGCCCCTGTTCCGATTCCTGGGCAGGCGGGCTCCCTCCACTGACAGACAGCCATTCAGCGTTCTGGATCTCACTGGCCCCCTTCGTCGGATATGTGAGCCCGCTGTTCCGTATGAGTATCTTTCGCATGAGAGGGGGGGGGGGGGGGGGGGGGGGGGGGGGGGGGGGGGGGAAGGGCCGCATCCCTTCTCATGTGTCTTCCTATTTTGGATTCCTCTGTTATGTTATGGCCTCTTACAGGGCATTTCCATCTGCGCTAACCGACTCTATGGCAAGCGGGATGGACAGTTGTTACTACAGTTCTTTGCCATTTGTGCAGTCTCTTCGCACGCTCGTGCCCCATGCTGCTGAGAACTCATGTGAGAGCCGGTCTCCAGACGTTGCCATCACACCATCAAAACGTGGCCATCCTGCACACCGTGCTGATGGTATGCCCAGACGTCGCGTGCGTCATCTGGCCGTCCCATCGTCCAATACGAACGTCGTGCGAAGTCTTCGCCTTG